CAGAGGGCCCCTTAGAACAGAGTCTCAGGCCTTAAAATACTCAGGGTCCCACCAGGGCCCTGCCTTCCTCGTCTTCCTGCTGCTGGCGCCCATTCACTGGCCTGACTATAGGGAAATAAAGGAATTTAGAAAAACATCTTCCCTCTCAACAGTACCTAGCTGTGCAAGACTGCTCTCTTACCAAAGAAGACAAGAAGACCCCAGCCAGGAAGCGGGGCCCCATATCAGGCTTGGCTGCCTCCCATCCCTGCCTCTCCACCATCGCCCCCAGCCGTGTCGTATGTGGACAGACTGAGGGGTGGGGTTCACCTGGGGGCCTGCAGCCTCCCTGAGTCATGATCACTGACCACCCAGGGCAAAAGTTCCCTAGCCACTGGCGCCTATCCGGATATTTCTAAAGCTACCCACTCCACCAGAGGCTGGCAGGGAACAGAAAAGCAAAGACCTGCGTAGGGACCTTCTCAGTCTCCCTCTGGTGCCATTTTCCTCCATGACCGCACGGGGTCAGAAGGGTGGGAAAGCGATTTCCACCACCTTTGTGTTACAGCCCCCTTCCTCCCAACTCCAACTAAGCCTTCCCCATCCATGTCGGTCTCTGCTCTACTCCCCGGGCCTAGCCCAGTGCCCAGCACACAGTGGCACTCACCAGTGCACTCTGGGTGAGTGAATGCCTCTGTTCCCTCCCCTCACTCTGTTCCTGGGATACGCAGCCCATCTTCTGCCCCAGCTCTCTGTGGAAAATCCTACTTATCCTTCAGGGTCCAGCACACACTCATGTTCTCCAGGATGCCCTCTCATCCTCTCCAGCAGTAAGAATGACCTGGGGAGTTCCTCCTTTCTTCCTCTGGCCTCTCCCTGAGCCTCATCCCTGCCCCTCTGCTTAGAAAGGATTTTGTTCAGCTTTCTGTTAGAGCGAGTTGCGCATGCCTCCTGCTCCCATGCTCCATGTTCGTTACACATTGATGAGTCGAGAGACATTTTATTTTTTTATATTTATTCATCCTACCTCTTACCCCCATTTCCAGTGGTGAGCACTGTGCGTGGCACACAGCTGGTGCTTAATGAATATTTATTGTGCTAATAATAATTATTATGATATTGTATATAAGTATACACATTATATGTTGTATATATGTAATATTATATTTTACCTATAATATATGTATATTATATAAGTATGTATAATATATGTGGTATATATATTGTATATACTAGTTATAATAAATTAGTCTTCCTCTATTCCAGGCACAGTTCTACATTCTTTGCATATTAACACACTCCGTCCTCCTGGCAAGCCCTGAGGGCACCCACAGCCACACAGTTAATATGAGAAAGAGCTGGGAATCGAGCTCTGAAGACTGCCTGGATTTAAATGTGCATTCTAAGGACAGGGTGTTGGCCGGTTGAGCTCGGTAAATCCAGGAAAGCTTCTTGAAGGCGGAGGTAGATTCCATGGTATTTAAAGGAGAGGAAGAATGTTTTCTCGGTGGGAGCAGGCAGAGAAGAACAAGGAGGAGAAGGAGGTCCGTGGGCAAAGCCGTTTGCCCTTTTTCTAGTCCTTACTAATCTGGCCTTAAGGCAGTGACCTTGAAAGAGCAACTGCTTTATTTGGTTCCAGGGAAAGATGGTTCCAGCGAACACTATCCTGATATGCTGACAGTACCAGCCATCCTCGCTGCTGGAAAAGGCGCCCCCGTCTTGGCATATCAGACCTTTAGGAAGAGTTTGCGGTCAGTTATCAAGGTGCATTACTTTCCGCGAAGGTGTTCAGTGAACCGCAGGAACGCCATCCACCGCAGCTAAAGGGCTACTTCTCCGTCTGCATAATTCCCGATGCTGTCAGTCGGCGTGACATGTGTGCACGGGGCTTCTCCCCGCCATCTGGCAGCCTCTTGGAAATCATGGCTCCCCCTGTACCCCCACCCCGTCCTCCATCAGGAGTGGGGTCCAGAGCCAAGACTGTCGGTAAAGCAAGATCAGGACGTGTGGACACCCCTGCGATGACAGCCGTGATTTAGCTGCGTCAATTGCTTCCTGACATTTCCATAGCTCTTCTCGGCTTCACCTCTGCAGCTGGCCGGTTGAGAGCTGCAGAAGGAAACTAGCAGATTGAATTTTCCACAGTACGCTCACTGGGGAGGCCCATTCCTCAGTTCTATAGGCAGCTACCTGGGAAGGTTCCAGCAGCTGCTACTGCCCCTCATGCTCTGTCCTGGCCAACTCCCCGGGGGAACTGTCCCTGCGCAGGAAGGGAAACTTGGCTCTGGGGACAGATGGGGAGGTCAGAGTATGCTCTTCTCTGTGGCCACTGAAGAGGTATACAGAGACCCTCCCCTGAGTTTCCTGAGAATGCCCAAGAGAATGTCCCATTTCTTTGACAACTTGGCCACACGAAGGCTCCCATGGGTGTCACAGTGAGTGTGTTGTGGGAAAAACACATCAGCACCCACACTTAGCCAATATCAGTGTTCACTCTTGGCCTATTCTCTAAATCCCTCAGACGAAAGATTGTTCACCCACAGCGGGGTTACCCAAGAACCAGGAAGCGGAGAGATTTCCTTTGCTGTCTGCTTGATGCCAGAACAATGGGCTAATGCGAGGGTGTGCAGGTGAATGAAAGCGCCAGAGAAACTGGCTATTTGCTGTTGTGTAAACCTCAAATCCTCTTTCTCTATTTCATGCTAACACCTATTGTGTGAGTGTCAACCTGAGCGATGGCTCCCGAGTTTGGGTGTGTAAAGGAATTTCTAATGGGTGTGTCTAGACCCGTCCAGTCTCCAGGGGTTCTGGCTCAATCGCTTTGAGGTGGACCCAGGAAAATGCATTTTGAACAAGCACTATGCCGGTTCTCTGGCAGGTGGCTCTCAGCAATAGTTTAAGACATGTGGTCACTGTACATGGTCCCTTCCTCCTGCATTAAATCCCAACTTGAGGGCCTCAGAGAGGATGCCGACCCCAGGATGTTCCGTTCTTCCTCCTTTTCACCCCGTAGACATTGTGTCACTCCCAGGACAGCTCCTCTGCAATCCACCCCCTGGGATGACTCTCACTTTCCTGTTTATCTCCCTCCACAGTGTTACTCGTTTCTCTCCAGAGGTGGGGGCCCCCCTCGCCAGTTCACGCACTGGATCTTCGTGTGGACAGCAGCAGAAACACTGCCATATTCCTTTTCATGTCCGGGGGTGCCTAGCATGGTGACAGGCTTTATAAGTATTCTTGAGCCACTGCATTACATATATATTAAGTACTCACCTTGCCTCAGGCCCTAGGGATAATTTTAACCCAAACTGATAAATGGAGCTTAGAGTAAAGTATAAAGCGTCGAATCTACTGGATTGGCAGAGGTTGAAAAGACACATCCAGTTTTGGCAGAGGTCAGGAGAAGCTCTGACAGTGTGTGGGATTATAAATCGGTAGGACCATTCTGGAGGCAATATGTGGCAATCTGGTAATACGTGACTAAAATCAAAATGTCTATTCCCTTTGATCCTAAAATTCTAGTTCCAGGAACTTTTCCTGAGGAGAGAATAGAATGAGGACACAAAACTGTTCACTTGGGTTATTCCCCAAACAGGTACTCTTCCATACATAGGGCATGGAGCTGGGTGCTGGGCGGACTGGGACACACAGGGGCAGGAGGATGTCAGAGCATGGAGGGGTCCAGCAGGGTTTATCAGAGCTAAAGGCCAGGAGCAATCTCAAAGTGCATCTGTGGCTGGCTGAGGGTGAGTTTAGATACAGCCACGTAACAGAATACAGAGCAGCCATTTAGAATGTTGCTGTGTATCTGCAGTCATTGTTGGAGGAAGCTCTCTGTGACAGTGTTGAGTAAAAAAAAATGCAAATTGAGAAACAGAAAAAATCTCATCTTGTCGAGTGACACACAAATGTCTACATGAGTATATACATAGAGAAAGGTGTCGAAACGTCACTGTCAAATGTCAGATTGTTCAAAGGACTTGTTTCTCGTTGATGGATTGTTTTGCATACTTCTTTCTACCTTTCTGTATTCAAGTTTCCTACAAGAGCACGTACATAGAATGCAAAGATTATCTTTGTAAACAGAATGAATGAATGAATGAATGCATAGGGAAAAAGCAAAACAGCATCAAAGCAACCAAGGAACTAACTGCCTGGGAAGGCAAAGCCGCCTTCACAGAAGACCTGGTACTTCCTCACACTCTGTCCTGGGAGGATGGAGTTCCTGGAGGGGAGGGACTGGGGCGGGCACACGGCAGGTGTCCAATGACCGTTTGTGCATTTGTGCGGCTGCTGCCCTCCTGCGTGTCCTGAGGTGAAGCACTATCCTCCCAGAAAGCCTCGAGGGTCTTCTCTAATCCGACAACTGTTGGACTCCACGACCTTCCTGGGCCTCTTCCAACTCGGGGGCTCTAAGAGGCCGAGACAGCCATCAGACCACAAGTGAAATTGATCTGGGCCCGATGTCAGGCTGGGAGCTGGCCGGCTGGCCCTGGCTCTGGGTTGTTATTTCTTATTTGCCGAGGCCCCGTGGAACTGGCCTACAGATGAGGCACAGCTGGGGCAGTTAAATCTTCCCAGCAATGCCTGTGCTGTCAGGATTATTCACAGTAGCTTGGGTCCCCTGCCCAAGACCCCTCTGCCCCAAAGATACCCTTCCAGCCCGACTCATGGCTAATAAACCCATACCCAAATTGATCTCACAGCTGTTCTTCAGATGCAGTGCCAGCCCCCTCGTCTGAGCCAAGCTCTTTGGACTTGCAATAAATCGGGGCAATTTTTCATCTGGGGCTTGTCATTGGTTTCAGAAACTGTTCTCATTCAGCAAAAGCTTTTTTTTTTTTTTTTTTAAGATTTTATTTTGTTTAGAGAAGTTTTAGGTTTAAAATAAAATTGAGAAGAAGATGTAGAAACTTCCCATATACCCCTGCCCCTACTCATTCATAGCATCCCCCATTATCAACATCACTCATTACCAAGGATGAACCTACACTGAACATCATAATCACACAAAGTCCACGGTTTACATAAGGGTTCACTCTTGGTGTTGTGCATTCAATGGGTTTGGACAAATGTATAATGACATATCCATCATTATATCATGCAGAGTATCTTGGTTGCCCTAAAAATCCTCTCTGCTCTGCCTATTCATTCCCTACCCCACCCTCCCACCCCTGGCAACCACAGGTCTTTTTATTTTCTCCATAGTTGCAGCAAAGGCTTTTCAGCGGAGACAGTAACACATCTTGGCAACATCACGAATTTGGAGACCTGGCTTTCTCCCACCACCAGATCTAAGAGATCCCCTCTCTCTGCCGACATAGTTCGATTCTTCCATAGCTACATGATTTGCTCATGAGAGAGAAAAGAGACCGTGAACGCCCCCTCCCCACAGCATCCTTCCATCAAACTGAGGCACAACTTCAAACCATAGGGTCCAGATGTGAGAGGGAGGCTGGAAATTAAACACCAGCACTAGGCAGTTGGGGAAAGAGGGGGTTGGTTGTTTGGAATGAGGTATCTGGTGGTCCGTGAGGGCAAGAGCTTCAGAACACTTTGAGGCCAGCAGTGGCACAAGTCTTAGGAGCAGTAGCCTCAGTGCTGGTGATGACAGTGGTGGGAGAAGTAACAATTGTAACGACAAACATTTGTGTAGAGTGTGGCCACGGATTCTCTCTGGGGACCACTCCCTCTCCAATCTCCAGCCCATCCTCTTCAGTTTGAGCTCCACCACTGGCTCTGAGAGGGACCATGTGACCCAGTCCTGAGCCAATCAGAGCCTCACACTCTCACGGCTAGAGTGATTGGTCAAGAATGCACATGTGACACCACTGGGGCCAATTATACCCTGTGAGCTGGATTTTCACTCTTTTACTCTCACCATGGATATGAGAGGTGATAGAAGTAGAGCTAATGTCCCCGTGGAGTCAGACTGAAGCCCACACGTTGATGTGTGGAGAAGGGGGAGAAGATGGGTCCTGGTAACTCCAAACAGCCTACAGAAAGTGGAGGAAGCTTCTGAGAGATGGAGTGTGAGCCCAAGATTCACAAGCATCCGGGGATGATTAAAATCCGATGACAATATTAACAATAGCCATTTATTGAGCTCTTACTGTGAGTCAAGTGCTAACATAGTTTTTCTCTTCTAGTCCTCTCAACCTTGAAAGGGAGTTCCAAATTCCCCCATTTTATAGCTGAGAAAACGGTCTCAGGAACTGAAGAAACTTCCTCAAGTTCTCCCTCAAAAGGCAGCAGTAAAACCAAGTTTCAACCCTGGGTCTCCCTGATGTTGAACCCCAAGCCCTTGCCACCTCAGCGGTTCAGAAACACCTGGGAAGATGTTAAGAAATTACAGAAATCCAGGCCAACCTCTAGGATTTAGGACACTTGGTGGGTCACTGGCATTTTCTCAAAGCTCCCACGGTTCCCCTGACGGGCGGCCAGGGCGGAGAACGGCTGCACGAGGTCATGCAGGACGCAGTTCCTATTTCTGTAAAGGACTTTCAGCCACTTGCACAAAACCACGTGACCCGGAACGCTCAACCTCCCAGCAGCGCCGGCAACCCTAAGTTTGACTCAACACCTCCATCTGGATCACCTACACGAGTCGAGTCAGCCCCTGATTGACAGCACTGTCGTCTGATCTAGAGGGGGCAAGTGAGGGGTGGGGGATGGGCTAGGCAAAAAGAGAACACTCTTTTTTGTTTGGCCTGTCGTTTTTAGAAAGCACGCTTTCTAGTGCTACGAAGTAACAAGCAGCAGCTGCAGCGGGAAACTCTGGGGGACGTCAGCTCCTGGCTCGTCATCGCTATGATCCACGTTCTGCTCCACTTCACTTACCAGCGCAAATGTCGCTGTGATGTGCAGGGGACGGTCTACACAGCTGGTCCCACCACACACATCCACAGTGAGGGCCAGAAAGGGACTGGCTGAGACAAGGGCATGAGCCAGCACTCCGCGTCTGGGGCTATTTGGGCTTTTAGTTGTTGGGGCAGTCGGGGGTAGGGAGGAGGTTGGGCTTGTTTGTTTTCCAGGATTGACCAAATGCAATCATTCAGGACTTCCTTTCCGAACATTCCTCTTGCTAAAAAAAAAAAAAAAAATATGCCTGGACTGCAATTTTGCTCTTATGGCCTCTCCCCTGAGATCAGCTTTTATTTCAAAAGTAAAACCCCAGCACAAAGGGTAAGGAAGCTGCAAACCTTTTGAGGAAGGCTGTACAACACTGGCTTTCATTAAAATACTTCTGCAACTCCTGTGTTATCCGGAAAATGCCTTTTGTGCTTGTTCTAAAAAATCTCCAGGTTCCTTCCAATTTTACGATCCCGTGATTCTCCCGTGTCTAGCACAATACCTGGCATTGTTGGTATTAAGCAAATTTTTTTTTTGATAAAACGAGAGCAGAAAAGAACGCCTATTGGCCAAATGGCTTCCTTCTTCATCTGCGAGACGCTGCAGGGAATCCTGTATTACATGAAACGTGCAATGATTACCAAACTGTTTGAATTTTGATGAAACATTTCACCATAGGGGGAAAATTCAGGAAAAAAAATGCAAATACAAAACTATCCTACATTTGTTGTTAGTATTATAATTATTATTTTCTTTTGGTGAGGAAGATCAGCCCTGAGCTAACATCCGATGCCAATCCTCCTCTTTTTTGCTGAGGAAGATGGGCCCTGGGCTAACATCTGTGCCCATCTTCCTCTACTGTATATGGGACGCCGCCATACCATGGCTTGATAAGCAATGCGACAGTGTGCGCCTGGGATCCGAACCTGTGAACCCGGGGCCGCCAAAGCAGAGTGCGTGCACTTAACCACTGCTCCACCAGGCCGGCCCTTGTTGTTAGTATTTTAATGCGCTTCTACAAACAAGCAAGCAAAAAAACTTTAAAACTGTATTCAGAAGGGAAACAAAACCCAGAATAATAGGTCCAGGGCTGGGGAGGATGGTATTTATTCTAAAAGGCAACAGAGAAATGTTCGGGCCTGGGACTCAGCTCTTAAGACCTTCCTCTCAAACTGGTCATTATTCAACATCCTTTGGCTCCAACTAAAGATGAGTGGACCTGTCTGTGCTGTACGGCCAGATCACATTACTCCTTCTTGTCCAAAAGGCTGTTGCGAGTGTCTCTGGGAAATATCTCACAAGACCAAGGCTCACCGGGTCTAGCATTTCCCAAATCCACATTGACCCATCCTCACAGGAGATGGAGAGGGTTGGGCAGGACTTGCTCATAGCGAACCCACGAGAGTCCTAGGTGATCACTCTTTTCTTCAACAAGTGTGTCCAAACTGTCTAATAATTTTTAAGGGATTGTTATCACATCAGTCTGGAGTTTCTACAATTCACTCTTTTATCCTTAAAAAAGAACTAGGAAACCATCCCTGGCTTTCTCCCACGCCTCCCATATTTCTTGATTCCTCACGAGACACTGATAGCAGTTCCATGGCCGTGTCAGTAAGTTTTTCAGTGTCCTGGGGTGGAGTGTTGCTGAGCTTTGGGAAGGGCACTCATCTGCAGCAGCTCGACACACTTTCACTATCCTCCCGGTCTTAAGAATCAGTTTGCTCCCTCTCTGAACAGTTGTTTAAAGATAAACCTTTCTGAAGAAGGTAGAGGCAAACGAAATTGTGGTCATGGTTCGTCCTGGGCTCTAGCACCACTAACGGGCTAGCTCTAGTCCGCGGGCTCCAGAACCACCGATGCGCCCTGCCTGGATGGAAGCCTAGCCTTCCTCCCACCAGGAAGCCCCTGGCTTCCCTGTGTCCTGAGCTCCTCTGGGTTAAGAGCCCCTCCCTGCTTTCCCCACCTCAGCTCATCACAGAGAGCTCTGCTGCCCTTCTCCACTCTTCACCAGGAAAGCCAGTCAGCCTCCTTTCCTGCCTCCTGGCCCGTGCCCCATCAGCCCTTCCAGGAGCCACAGGCCCAGACTAAGCCAGAGGATAGGGACAGAAGTCTCTTTCCTGGAAACATCATCCACAAGGAAAGACTTGGTGTTATGGGTTGAATTGTGTTCCCAAAAATTCATATGTTGAAGTCCTAGCCCCCAATAGCTCAGAATGTGACTTTGGAAACAGAGTCACGGCAGATGTAATTAGTTAAGTGAGGATGAGGTCAAGTTGGAGCAGTGTGGGCCCTAATCCAATATGACCGGTGTCCTTATAAAAAGAGGAAATCTGGACATAGACGCACACAGGGAGAAGGGCACAAGGAGGTGTGAAGATGACAGCAGAGATCAGGGTGATACAGCAGAAGCCAGGGAAAGCAAAAGATTGCCAGCAAACCACCAGAAGCTGGGGGAGAGGCATGGAGCAGTCTGCCTCACAGCCCTCAGAAGGAACCAACCCAGCTGACACCTTGATCTTGGACTCCTGGCCTCCAGAACTATGAGACAATAAATAATAATAAATAATTTCTGTTGTTTAAGCTACCCAGTTTGTGGTACTTTGTTACAGAAGCCTTAGCAAACTAATACACTGGATATTAAATAATAAAGGAGAAAGAAGGAAATCCCAGTTAATGAAATCCTCCGACTCCCCACTTAGATGCCCCTCTCTCAGGAAGCCTTCCCCGAGCCCCTGAGAGTGGGGGCAGCTCCCCGGAGGAAGAGAAGGCCAGGGGATGGTGTTGAGATGGTTGCAAGGGTCACGTGCTCGTGTGCTTCTTTGTGGTGCCTTGGGTGGGAGGATCGTGAAGCTAGGAGGGAATAAAGCTGCCTACAAGGCTCCCACTTGGGCTCCATCCTGCCCCTGCCCCAGTCTGGGTGATGTACCCCGCCCACGTGCTCCCACAGCACCTTACACTTCCCCTGTCTTTGCTTCCATAGCACGGCCTGATGATCAGCTCTCTACTTGTTGGTTCCCCGACTAGACTCAACCCTCAGGACCACGCCCACTCCATCACCATTATATCCGTGTGTCCACCACATGCCGGGCCCACAGTGCATGTCTGTTAGTGGATGGATGGATGCTTGTGCGCATAGGGGGAAAAAGAGCCAGAGAACTAAGAATATGGAAAAGTAGAAAGGGAAGGACAAGAAGAAAGAGTATTTTTTTAAGGGGGTAAAAAGAGGGAGAAAAGACAGAGGCGGACAAAGAAAGGAGAGATAAGTGAGAAGAATAATGTTCAGCCAGGGCTGGCCCGGTGGCACAAGCGGTTAAGTGCACATGCTCTGCTGTGGCGGCCTGGGGTTCACCGGTTCAGATCCCAGGCGCGCACCAAGGCACTGCTCGTCAAGCCACACTGTGGCGGCGTCCCATGTAAAGTAGAGGAAGATGGGCATGGATGTTAGCTCAGGGCCAGTCTTCCTTAGCAAAAAAAAGAGGAGGATTGGCAGTTGTTAGCTCAGGGCCGATCTTCCTCACACACACACAAAAATAGTAATAATGTTCAGCTATCTTTCTGAGGATCCACAATTCCTTATCTGGCACTCTTGCGACCAGGTGTTTCCATGTTAGAATTTTGGGATTTTAAGAAAGATACCTTGGGGCACAGTTCATATGGGGCAGCATTCTATGCACAAACACATTAATATTTCTGCAGCAAAAATGGATGGATATTTGCACAAAGTGGGATAAATGAAGACTAAAAAGAGCTCCGTTATAGTTTAAGTCAAGTCAGATTTTTTTAAACTTCAGGTTTTCAGAGGTTTGGGGTTTGGGGTAACGTTAAGGGAGTGTGACTCTGCAGTGGAACAAAAGCCAGGCTGTGACACGAATCTCCGCCACGCTTCTCATTTCTAGGAAGGGACAATGCTCGGGGCAGAGGGCCCTTCCCTGCCTTTGTGTCCTAAGGTCGCAGCTAGGGTGAGTTTGGGGCGGGGGTTCCCAAGAAACTGTTGGGGACAAACCATTTGTTCAACGGATAAAAAGACAGAGCTTTGTTCTCAATCAAAGCAAGTTGAAGACAGAGAGGCAGGAGAGGAGCTTTCTTATTGAAAATCAAATCCTTCCTTTAGCTCCAGACTCCTCACCACCCTTTCCCCCCTAATAAACCACATGTTCCGTTGTTCTCCTTTTCTGGGAAATCATTCTACAGGCATCTTCCCAGCCGCCCAGAGCCCAGCTGCCCCAAGCTGCAGAAGGTCTGGGCAGTGTCTGGCAGAGCACCCATGGGGCCCCCAGGGCCACGCCTGGGACTTGCTTAGCTTTGAGAATGCTCCCCTCCTATAGGATTTGTCCTTGAACCTGGTTGAGCTCATTCTTGAATGACTCAAGGCACCCGCAGAGTTATACCTGCTGTCACCCCCAGTGTGTCCAAGCCCAACCCGCTCTGCCTCATCAAGGGGGGAGGGTTAGGATAGGGCAGAGGAAGGAAAAGAAGATCAAAGCCAGGCAGGTCTGGCTTTCAGTCTTGTCCTTGCCACTTGCTTTGTGACCTTAGGCATGTGACTTGCATCTTTTTGAATTTCAATATCCCCTCCTGTAGAAGGGGAATAGGGATTTCTCTTGCAAGGTTGTTGTGAGGATTAAGTGAGATAACATGATAATATATGAAAAACCCAGGCCCTTAATAAACAACAACTATTCCCGTGTTTGCTGTTCCATAAACCGTCTGGTGATACTTCCTGGGACCAGCGGCCCATAGTGTCCTAAGTGGTATGTGGGAGGTGCGGGTGATGGGGATGCAGGACTTGGAAGACTTTTAGAGCAAGACCCCAAGCTTCTCCTGCACTGGTCCATACTCTCCAACCTCAGGCAAGTCCACAGCTTTTGGGACCCTCCAGGGATTCCCCCAAGAAGGCTGTCCTGGATTTGGGGCTGGTTCCTGTAAAGGCAGGTTGATCTCAAAACCACTCTTCCAAGATGTCAATGCTTGAAAGTCTGTTGATGCTCCCACCAGCTCATCTGTGAGTGGTTTTACCTACCTGGGGGCCAGTAGACCCCCTGTATCTGGGCACATCTGCACTGGGTACAGCCCCTCAGTTCTTACCAAGTCAGCTGGTGCAGTGGTTGGCAGCTTACAGGGCTATCAGGGACAGGGAGGGGACTCAGCCAGCACCAACCCCTGGTATTGATGCCCAGGGTAGCACAAAGGCCTCCTTCCCTCCTTCTCAGCTTCCCAGCTTCCCAGATACCAGAACACATCCATGTTATGTTAGGTCTGGAAAGACTGACTGTGCATGGTCCTTATTGTCTGCGCCATGCCCTTGGCTCCTGGTGTCTCTTTGTGGAGTTGTCTTCATGATTCAAGATGGTTGCTTGAGCTCCTGCCATTACATCTGTGCTCTGCTTGCTTCCCAGGGGTCTCCCCAACCAGAGTGACCATTACTGAGCCTTCTTGATAAATGTGGTGGTCTTAAACATGTCCACAAATTCTTTGACAGTCCTACATAGACAGGTGGAGGTCTGTGTCCCTTCCCCCAGAATCTGGGCCAGACTTTGTGACTCACTTGTCACCAATAAAATGCAATGGAAGAGAGGCAACAGGACTCAGATCAGAGAGGTCATGCAGCCTCCAGCTGGTATTTTAGGGACACTTGCTTTTGGGGGGTAGCCACCACTTCAGAAGTCTCACACCCCAGGACTGCCACGCTGGAAAGCCACACCTGAGGAGGGACAGCGCTGGTACGAAGACCAAGGACAGGAATGAGAGGGCCCAGTGCCAGCTGAGCGGCAGTCCCTGGGCAGCGCTTCCTCCCTCTAGCCTGTTGGGGCAGCAGGGCACGTTGTCAGATTGTGTGCTCCTGAGGCTGAGGGCCGGGAGTCACGTGCTACTTCATCCACTCACGGGCTGAGTGTTCTTACACAAGTAAATTCACCTTTCTGTGCCTCTGTTTTCCCCATCTGTACAATGGGGATAATAATAGCCCACACCACGGAGAACTGACATGAAAATTATATCGGTTAATAACACGTGACAGCTCAGAATCATGTCTCATTCAAAATTATCTGGTTTTCTTTACTCCACGGCACCAATTATTTCCTGGAATTATTGTGTTTCCACTTTTATAGTTCTCCCTCCACTAGAATGTGAGTGCACAGGGCAGGCACCACGTGTACCATCCTCACTGCTGTGTCACCACCACCTAGAAGAGTACCCAGCACATAGTGGGGTCTTGTATCAGTTGAGATCTGGTTTGGCTGTAACAAATGAACTCACGATGACAGTTGTTTTAAAAGGTAGCAGTTTATCCGCCTCTCATGAAAAACGTCTGGAGGTGTGCAGCCCAGGGAAAGTGTTGTGGAGCCGTCGTCATCAGAGGCCCAAACTCCTACCTAGCTACTCCATCAGGATTAGCGTGCCCACTTCCTGGTCCAAGGTGGTTGCCTGAGCTCCAGCTATCACATCTAAATTCTGTGTTATGAACAAGGAAGCATAAAAACGTGTATTGCTTCCCTTTTCAGGAAATTTTCCAGCAGTCCCACACAATAACTTATCTTATGCCTCATTGGCCCGGCCTTACTACGTGGCTATGCCTAACTCCAAGGCAGGCTAGGAAATTTAACCCACTCGAGGGGTGCCATTATTCCCAGTTAAAGTTGGAGTTCTAAGGGAGAGGTGGGAAAATTGAAAAGAAACTAGCAGTCTCTGGCCAGTGCTCAGTAAATCTTGGTCAGACAGACAAATGGCCCAGCAGCCTCAGCCCTTTCCAACTGGGAGTCCCACTGAACTGAAGGCCAGATGACCTGTAATTTGTGCCAGCGCTGCCTGTGCCAGGTGTGACTACTGCCTGAGTGTGAGTCAGAAGGTAGGCTGGCTCGGGAGAGAGGGCTGGGCGAGGCAGAAGCAGCCACTCTTTAGCCTGTGCACACCCCCTCCTTCCCATACGTAGGGCCCCCAGTCACCCCCAGAGCAGAGCCCCTGGGCACAGAAGGGACGACTGACCGACAATGAGTCTGTCTGATGGAGAGGGGACGGCCAAGGACAGGGCTGACCTTCCTCATTTGCACTTCATCCCAGCACTTCACCTGCTTGATTATCTATGGTTTCGCCATCCACCACCACAGGATGCAAAATGTCACCTTACGGCCTGGTCAGTGGGAGTGTCAGCAGCCTCTGGGCAGGAGCAGGGGTTCCAGCTGACAAACGGGGACTTCAGGCCCAAGAGGGCAGGTGCTTGGCTCAGCCTCTTGGGTCCCAAGAGCCCTGCTCTCGCCTCCAGACCTGCATCCTTCCTGGCTCAAGGGTGCAGTCATCCAAGAAGGCTGGTGTATAGAAGGTTCCGGAAACAGGTGCCAAGTCACAGGCATCTGCTTCTGGAAGGGGAGAGCAGGGAGCCAGATTTGGGCAAATCTAGGCTAGATTCACAAATGCTGAGCAGACTCAGGGCTTTTTCTTGGATTCAGTTCCTCAGCAGCTTTCTGTGCCCACAGACGTTTTCTGTCTGTCGCCATCCCAGCCTCCTGGTGATGCCAGAGCCCCAGAGATCACAACCCCAGGCCTGGGGCTGAATCCTCTGGGTGCTAGCAGCAGAGGGTTTCCAAAGTTCTCAGTCT